TTGTAAAAGAGGCCAGAGAGCTCCCTTGCACCTCCTTCCAACAGGTGAGGTTAGTGAGAAGATAGCCAGTTATAGGAAGCAGGCCCTTTCCAAACATCTAGAGCTTGATCTTGGACTTCTCAGCCTCCAGATAAATTTCTGTTGTTTGTAAGCCACTCGGTCTATGGTAATTTGTGATAGCAGCTCAAACGGACTAAGACATTAAGCAGTTGAAGGAAAGGGGAATTTCAAGTGGGGGGAAAGCATGAGCAAAGGAATGGAGGTTTAAAGAGGTGGTATGTTTAGGGCAGCTGTCTCCAACCTTTTTGGCACCAGGGACTGTTTTCATGGAAGACAGTTTTTCCACGGTCTAGGGTAGGGGGGATGGTTGTAGGATGATTCAAGTGCATTACATGTATTGTACACTGTATTTCTATTATTATTACATTATAATATATAATGAAATAATTATACAACTCACCATAGGTTGGGGACCCCTGGTTTAGGGAACAGCAGGTATGGCCAGAGTGTTAGTGCACTGTGGGGAGGGGGAAATGAGGCAAAGCCAGAGCAGTTGACAGTAGTTGCTGGAAGACCAGGACTGATATTCTACAAGGATTTGGCTCATTATTGAGAATAGAAAATCTTTGCAAAGGTCCCAGTGAGCAGAAACAAATGAATTACAGGCCGTATTACATAAGAATCAAAAACAACTTTGAATGCAGAAGCTGTTTTCATAAATATTATATATGCACATGTTTAAAACTTTAAAAAAAATTTTTTTTTCAGACATAGGGTCTCACCCTCTCACCAAGGCTGGAGTGCAATAGTGTGAACACAGGTCACTGCAGCCTCGAACTCCTGGGCTCAAGTAATCCTCCTGCCTCAGCCTCCCAAGTAGATAGGACTACAGCCGTGCACCACCACTCCAGCTAATTTTTAAAAATTTTTGTAAAGATAGGAGTCTCACTGTGTTGCCCATGCTGGTCTCAAACTCATGGCCTCAAGCAGTCCTCCTGCCTCAGCCTCTCAAAGTGTTGGGATTATAGGCATGAGCCACCATGCCCAGCCTAGAACATTATTTTTATTCAAACAATAGCAATGAACATCTCTGAAGAATGGCCCACAAAGCCCAGAATTTTTATAGCTCAGGATCTTTGAGAAGTGACAGGAGCTGGCATGCTTTGGTTCAGAGGGCCACCAGGGAAGAGAGGTCTTTAGAAATGAGGTTCAAATAGCCTACTGCTAGTACTGAATCCAGAACCATCTTTAAATGTAAAGGGGGTAACATGCAGGTCAGAAATAAAGTCTGTGATGACAAGTTACAGTGGTCAGCCAATATTAAGTTCTGTCTGCATTAACTCTGCTGCTGTTAACTGATTGGTCGATGGCTCATGTTTTGCCTGTGGGCATTAATAGCTCATAAGAATGTATTTATTTCATTCACCACCTAGCCATGAGAACACAAGAGTAAACATAAGTGGTATCAGTGAGGATGTTTTCAGCTGCAAATAATAGAAAAAAACTACTCAAACTGGCCTTATAGCAGAGGAAAATCCAGAGGCTTCAGGTGTGGCTTCAGTCACCAACTCCATTTCTCACAGTTCTCTCAGCTCTTCCCTTCTCTATGTGTCAGCTTTGTCCTCAGCAAAACTGAAGCCATTCAAGGCCTCATATCCTCAAGCCCACTTTCTAGAAAGTGTTTCTCTTCCTCCAAGCTACCTACCAAAGTTTAGGTTTTATTCTAATTGCATCCACTTGTGCCACATGCTTACTCTTAGGTCAATTACTGTGGCAAGGAGGAATGGAATCCCCCTGATTGGCCTGAGCTAACCAGGGCCAACCCCTGGGGCTGGGAGTAGGATCAGATGCTTGGCTGTTCCATCATGGCAGGGAGGGTGAGTGGGATGTGCGTAGGGAAAGCAGCCCAAAATATCTATCCTGTGTTAACAAATTATCTTGGGTAATCCACTAGCCCCTAATGAGGACAGCAGATGTCAGTCACTCTGATTTGCCATGTGTCATGTTTGCTATTTAAAACTCACTGCTGTGTGCATCACCCAAAGCCCCAACCACAAGAAAGGACACCATCAACCAAAGACACTTTATTTGCATTACGTTTCACAATTAACAGTCAAGAACAAATAATAATAATAATAATAAAATAACTTGCAAAAGGAACAGATATTAGACATAAACAAGGACACTATTAACATCAAAAAAAAAAAAAGCCTGTGCTGGATGTGGTTGCCCCATTCTTGTGCACGTGTGTGGGTTGGGGCCACAGCTTAGCCTCTGTCACCAGGGAAGGCTGAGGCCCCAGTGAAGTACTTCTGGAACCTGCATCCCAAAGCTGGACATACAGACTCCTGAGCACAAGCTCCCTCTTTCACCCTCAACCAAAGAGGATGTCTGCAATTTCAAAGTGACCTAAAGCTCTTACTCCTGGGGCTTTTGTTTCTATACCTGTTCCTAGACTCAGTCTTGCGAAGGGCATGGATTAGAGGAAGTGCCCATTTGCTCATCAAGGAGGGAGATCCAAGGAAGGAGGTGGATCCCAGGTACCTCTTCCTCCTCCTTTATCATCCTCCCAGCCCAGCTGCCTTTGCTTCTCTTCCTCCTACCCCAGTCATGTTTTTTTCTCTCTGGTTCTTCTACCTACAGCATTTTTAAAACTCTAGAATGCACCCCGTGGTGGACATTTCTCATCTAGGTCTTCTAATTAACATCAAAAAGTTCCTGGATTCCCAGTAACTCCTCCTGGAAAAGCTGAGGGACATGGCTCTTTTCTGGCTCCAAACGCAGCCAGAATCGCTGCATTTGGAGGGATACAAGTACTATTCTTATTTTGACTCGTCAGAGAGTGAACCCCAGAACCTGAAAAGATGGTGTCTCTTTTCACCCCCTGCTACCTCCACAGCTGATGTATAAGAGTCTCCCCAGGGAATTATGTCATTTATCTGTAGCCTATCCACTCAAGAGCAATATTCTCCTAGGAGTGAATGTACTGGGGAACTTCTGTCTAGATCAGAAGTGGTTATTGTTGCCCGACCAGGAAAAAAAAATTCCAACTGATTGGAGAAAATCAACTATCTTACAAGTGCTAATAGCATCTGTGTGCATTCAGTTTCACAGATACTTATTCAGCAAGCTAGCTATATTCATTGCAAACATCCATGACTTGCATTTGGAGAGGCTGCAGATGTCGGAGGCCACGTCTTCACTGGGGCTCACTTCTCCATCAGTCTTTCTGAACACGCAAAATGACAGCTTGTAGGTTAGGTCGGGGGCCATGGAGGGGTCCAAATTTTTACCATTCTAGACCGAAAGAAAGTGAGAGATAAGATTCTTAGAAAAGAAATATTCCAACAGAAGCATATGAAAAAATTTAGATTCATAAATAATCACTATTAATTAACATTATTTGTCCTCAGCTTTCAACTCTGTTCTTCCTATCATTTCTCTCCTTGCTTCTCTGCTGTTCCCTGTCTCTTGCTGGCCCCCTTCCTCCTCTTCCTTCACCATCTTCCTTCTTTCCATCTCAGTCGCCTTGTCACTTTTCTCCTAAGAGTCTCTTACAGGCTTTCTCCTTTGAACATTTCATTCCAATCACACTAAGCAGTGCCAGCTATGATTATCCGATACAAACCCAGTGGGGACAAGCTATTCTCCTCAAAAGTTATCCCAAGAGAAATACGGCCTAACTTGCCTTATGTCTTTAGAAATGGATCTAGTTGCCTTGAAATCTGGGAGGAGGAAAGGAGAGAGCTGCCTTTACACAGCTTGCTGGAAAAGGTCCCACAGAACTGTATTTATATTCAACACCCTTCCCTGGGCCTGCCCAGGACCTAGGTCCTTAAACAGCCTGGGAAGTGTCACCACAATTCCTGGAGTCATAGCCATAGAAGTTTATAATCTAAAAGAAACTTAAGGGCATCTAAATGAAGCTGCTTTTTTTTTTTTTTTGACAGATGAGAAAATAGAAGACCAGAGAAATTAAGTGATGTGTTTAAATGTCACATCTATGGATGGAGACCAAGTGGTGGCTATTTACAACAACAGGGAGCTTCCTCCTTGCTCTTCCTCTTTCAATTGAAAGGAAGGAAGGAAGGGAGGGAGGGAGAGAGAGAGGGAGGGGAAAAGAAAAGAAAAGAAGAAAGAAAAGGAAAAATAGAAGAGGATGAAAAAAATCTGTGGGCTGCTGATTGAAGAAACAATTGCCAGGTTCCTGCTCTGCCCTGGGGCCACACACAGAGCCCACTGACTCACCTAATAGTCAGGGCCAGGCATATATGCCTGGGCGTAGGGATTTGATGACAGCCTGTCCTTGGAGGTCGCTACCCTGATTTTAGGGAAGATGTTCCCCTCTGCTCCTAGATTGCTGACACCTGTATGCTGCAGTCTCAGATTTTGAAAGTCTTCCTCAATCAAGTTCTGTTCTTCAATATTCTTTTTGTTCTTTGATCTGTAATCAGTAACAGGAATTAGGCAGAAAGTTCCTTGAAGTAAATGTTAAGGTTCTTTTTTAAAAAAATGTTTTTAAATTTTGAAATATTAACATTTCTGAGCCAATTAAGTTGCAGACCTGATATCCCACTATCCATAATACTTATTTTATTCAGTGCCAATTCCTTGAGTTGAAGGACAGTCCCCTCATGAGCTCCGTGTAATGACAAAACCAGGATATTAATGCTGCTCCAACATGACCATCTAAATCCACTGGACTCATTCATACTTTGCTAATAATGTTATTAAGTGTGCCTTTGAATTTATATGAAAATGATAATAGAAGTCAAAGAGAGAAGATGACTTGTGATACAGTTTTTCATTCCGGCAAAGTTGACCTCTACAGAATCACCCCAGTGAGTAAAATGAGTTCAAGGTATAAAGGTCTTGAAAGGAGAAATAGGGCTTCCTGGGACCTCTGTGGCCCCTCAAGTATCTCAAGTGTAAATATTCAAAGCCAAGAAGAAGTACTTGCAGGTGAGGGAGGCATCTGCCCCCAGGTAACTCTGATGGGGACCCTCCTTCCTTCCCAGCCCACAGGCCTGGGCCTGCCCCTGCAGTACCCTGGGCTTGGGAGGGGAGTGGGGCTGGCTGCAACTGTGATGCCCGCAGCGCACTGCCAGGGTGAGTCACCTGTGCCTCAGGCACATCAGAAATGTCACTCTCCCTGAGACCCTGAGGGCCCACACCCTTGTCCAGGGTGGCTGAGGAGAGGCTTCCCTTCCCTTTGAAATGGGCAAGAAAATTATAATTTTTGGTGTGTTCCCAAGAATCCCGCACCTGTAGCTGGGCTAAGAGCAAACCTGGCTGTGCAGCAGGAAAGAGGACCTGGACACATGGCTGTCCCAGGGTCACAAGGTTCTGTAACAACTCTTGAGGGCCCTGAAGACCCAGGACAGTCAGCTAGTCTGCCTAAGAAAAGGGGAGACAGCCTTGATCCCGGAATGTTCTGGCTCTCTTCCCGAAAAGGGGAACTCGGAGAGATGGAGATGCTCATATTTCCAGTTCTTAGCTTTGCGTCCTTATAATTAATTCTCTGGAAAGAGTTAATATTATGGTGGACAAATAAATACCTATTTTATTAAAATGTAAGATATGAGCTAAATGTTAGAAAAAAGTAGATTGCTTTTTCTTAAAGTGGATCCCCACTTGGCCCATTTAGAATAAAAAAGAGATAATAGCATTCACCTCCTTATTAATGGCAGAACATTAGCATACCTAAGTGTTTGTTGCACAGATGAGTGGGCACTACTCCCCCTCCCTTAAGGGAAGGGACCTTAAGGCAACCTTAAGAGATAACCTTTCCACCCAGGGGAATCTGCTGAGGTTGATTTTAGACCAGGTGCAGCAGGGTCGTGAGCAAGGGAGTGACCTGATAAAACTTGTATCTGACATCAGCAGAGTTAAACACTGTTAGCAAAGAGTTTTTAATGACGTAAGGAAATGGTTGCTATGGTCATATTATAGTGTTAAGCAAAGCATACAAAGCAAAAACACAAAGCATACAAAAGTACATATATAATATTTTAAAAGATAGGAAATATCTGGAAGGATATATGTCAAAATGGTAATTGCCCAGGGTGGTGGGTTTTATGGGTGATGTTTTATTCTGCTCCTCTGCACATTTCTCTATTTTCTCTCTTTTCTCTATTTTCTTCCGTGATCATGCACAGCTTATATAATCGGAAGAAAATTAAGGTAAGAAAAAAAAGTCAGCGGTATTAGAGAGGCCTCCCCTGATCTCCCTTCTCGCCCAGGAAGGGCTGGGTATTTTGGAAACTACAGTGTCATGCTGGTAGCACTAGAACCCAGGACAGGGACACTTCCACCCCATACCTTGCTGTGACGATCAATGCAATCACCATGCTGAGAATGAGGACGCCAGCGATGGTGCCCACGATGGTGAGGATCAGCTGAAATTCTGGAAAGGAAAAGAAAAGAGGAGAGAGGGCTCAGCCCCCAACTGTCTACTGCCCAGGGACTCCCTGCTGTGAGGACGCTCAGGCTCTGGTCTCCAGCCCCTCCGGGGCCAGCTTGGGTAGGTGGCTTATTTCCTTTAGCACCCCTCCCCCCACCCCTAGACTGTGTCTTCAGAACGCCATCAGAAGGGGCAGCCTTGCCAGATGAATGACCGTAAGTCCCAGGGAGGCCTATAGAAGCAGGGTCTTCCTGAGCTTTGTGGGCAGTGGGACCTCAACACAGGTCCACAGCTCCCCTTACCAAGAAGCTAGGGGAGTAGGTTGGAGTGACATTGGTCACTAATAGAGGAGCCG